GATATTTTCTTCTTGTTAAAAACCACAATCATTTATGGTGAAAAATGATATTTTTGAATTCTTGTTGAAAACAGCAAGTCCCATTGCATTGATACTATGCATATTGTTCATTTTCTAATGATATCTTCTGTTCTTTAATTGAAATGTGCATTGCTAACAGTGGAGCTATCTCAGCCGAGAGGCTGCTTGTTTATTTATGTGACCTATTTTGAAATCTGTATACCGGTAATATTGCTTTGTAAAAGATATTATGTATGTAGTATATGGATCAGCAATAAAATAATTACTGATGATAGAAATAAAATTTGCAATACTACAAATTGATTTTGATGGTCCTTGTTTGTTCATGTCCTAACACCTCCAGTTTTTCATTTTCTACTTGTCAAGAATTAATATTTCATGACTCAATTTTAGGATTTTTTAATAACAAAACAAAAATATTTGAAGTTAAATTGTAATTCATGTTCTTGCTTGTTTTATAATATTCACCGAAAAAAATTTAAATAATAATAATATTAAAAACATTTATTTTAAAATATTTATTGTTGATTAATACATGTATTTGTGCATCATTTTTTGGAGTCTGGGGATTTCAGTGGGATCATATGCTATGAAAGCTGATTTTAGTTTAACATTTTTTTCACAATATAGTATTAATTTTGTTTTGTTTTGTTTGCAGGATTTATGCCGTCAGCGTATGGCAAGTAAATCTTCAGAGAAACCAGAACCATTACATCGCATTGGTAGTCTGGGGTCGCATTATAGTGACGCACCAGTACCGAGTCCGTCATCTCGCAGTAGTACGTCGTCCTGGAGTGAGGAGCCAGTGCATCCAAATATGGACATCTCTACGGGACATGTTGTACTGGTACGTGTGTTTCTTTATTTGGAACCTGGATTCCAAAGATTTATTTTCTTGCCAATAAATACTAGTTCAAATTTTCTCTGATTTAATTCACTTTTAGCCAAACAGATATACCATGTTTTTCTCCATTAACAGTATTTTGCTCTTATGTAAATGAAAGAGGTGTGTTTATGAACAAAGTAAATCATATTTTATTTTTGGTTTATGTTTAGAGCAAAACAGTGTTGCTATCTGTATTAGTTACCAGTGCTTATCAGACATTTTGAAACCGTAAATAACTTAAATGTTTGGAATGTTGGTTGATACAAAATTTTTACCGTAACTGCTGTATTTCAAAATAGAAATATCAAATTTAGTACCTAGCTTCGTCTACCTATATATACCTACTGATATCAATCACAAATGTGTTCACAGAAAACTGGTCAATAATAGCAAAACTTACAGGATGAATAACCATTGCTATATAATTCCTCATATAATAATGAGGAATATAATATTCAATGTCATTTTTTATAAATCATTATTATTAATTGGCCAATCCCTGAAGTTGATATTTTAGCAGGTCTTTGGTTCTTTGTTTTGTGTAATTAATGTTGAACTATTCTAAACTACATGTATTGCAACCATTTAACTTTGTTTAGTCCAATTTCTCAAAAGTTTATTCACTCATAAAATTACCACAATTATTGAAGAACTCTGGATGAATTAAAATAACCACAAACCCCTCCCCAAACACACTGATTACTATCTGTTCTATTAAAGATGTGTTGTTTCCAGTAATCACTTCCTTATATAACGACATAATTACCTGTTAAGTAGTATGTCTCTTCCGTTTCTAAGACCATGATTATAATTGGCCCTCATGGGAGCCTATCAAAAGAAAGCTAATTACCTCTGTACCTTTACTTAAATATACAGTATTCTAAATGAACTCTAATTACCTGGATTCTTTTCCAAGAATAGAGCATTAGTAATGAGCTGTAATTATAGCCACTTTTCCCACACACAACATGAATTATTACTATTTTGTGTTCTTTTCATAATGAACAATACCAATCCTATGACTGCAGCTGACTATTTTTTTTGAATACTGTATGAATATTTTTGTAATTTGATTCTTCTTTTTTTGTTGTTGCTTTTTTCAATAACGCTAAATATATATGGTAATTATTCCCTGTGGTTAATAATTCTCTCTCTTTCGAAAAAAAAAGCTATTTTTAATTAATGAAATTAATTAATTTCAATAGGTTGTTCTACAAAGCTGCTTTCATTGTAGATTTCATATTTGCAAATAGACAATAGATGCGTGAACTGTTGCAGTTAATTATTCATTACTTGGCCTTCTTTGTCATGAATAGGTACTAATCTAATTTGAATAATAATTGTTTTGGTCTTGGAGCAGAAATAAACAATGTAGCATGTAAATATATAGTGAAATATACAGTTCACTATAATACATTGTAGCAAACAAACTGTTAACCACATTTCAGCACAAAAAAAACCCTGTTCAAATGTATTTCCCTTTTTGACATGTGATAGCATGAATCGTGAATACCACTTTACTACGAAATTTAACAATGACATGTGCGATATTAGTTTATTTGCATAATTTCTGATAGCAAAACACTTACATTCAAATACAACTGCAGTATTACTCTGACATCCAACAGTGCTTTAACCAATGAATAGAAAATTCGATTTCAGTAGAATGTTTCCAGGTGCATAATACCATTTTTTTTTTGTCCATCTTTTTTTCAGTCGTATATGGAAGATCATCTGAAGAATAAAGATCGTCTCGCCAAGGAGTGGGAAGGGTTATGTCGTTATGAAGCCGAGCCTAACAGCACTAACGCTGGTAGTGATGCCAGTAATGTCAAGAAAAATAGATATCCTGATTTGCTACCTTGTAAGTGCACATAAATATAATGTATTGAGATATATATAATATACAGTGACACTTGGATATATTTTCAAAAATAATGTTTATCCTTTTCACCACCAGAATTTCTCGCCCAAATTTTTCTGAACTTTTTTCTGCATTTTTTGATATTTCTGGAAATGAACCCTAATTTTGGAGTCAACAGACAAAATTTTAGTCATTTTTCCGTTTTTACTCAACAAAAAATTTGCCTATTTTTGTCCCAATCTTCTGAAGGAAAGTACAGATATATAAACAGGATTATTTTGTGATGAAAAGAGGGAACTGGTGGTGAAAAGATTACAGTAAAATTTGTAATAGTCGGTAATAGTCGGTCGAGATGCCTGTTATAATTCATTCAAGTGAAAATAATCTGACTTGCTATATATGTATTGAAGTGCATGTATCTTCTATTTGAATGCATTTAGATTTTTAAATATAAGCCTGAATTTGATTCATTGCATGGTTGTGCAATGCAGTAATTCATCGCAGGCGTGCAGTCATTCGTGTTAGGTTTGTTATTTTCTTCACAGCTATGCAGTAACATACTGTGCATTTATATTCAAATAAAATAGCCTGACAAATGCATATGACACAGCTAGCTAGCTTTGGTATGTGGGGTTTCACACCTTCATTACAAAGGGGTATTTCATAGAGTGTAACTTAATTCGAATGCAGTGTTTTTCTGTGGGGTTTCATACTCTAATAACAAAAGACTGACTATTAAAGTTATGTTTATTGTCTGTTTGTTTTATCAGATGACCATTCACGTGTTGTGTTGAATGATTCCACCAATGCAGCAGGCTCTGATTACATCAATGCTAGCACAATTGTGAGTTAATTCAATTTTTGTTTTATCAAAATAACCTTCATATTTCTAGAGATTTGCCAAAAATTATGCAGCTCCTAATCCTAATCTAATTGAAGACATCTAAGTAATAATTATGAATATCAACACATCGTTTGTTGGAGCTTTTTTTATATAGACAATAGATATTGGAAATCTGATATGTTAATGCAGTAGTAACCATGGGAACTATTACTAAAGAAGATGTCCGCCAAATATCTTCGGAAATAGTTGTCTCAATGCTTTGACTGATTGCGGCATTTGACATTACACATGAATCTCATAAACTCTGATTTTCTTTTCAGACTGACCATGATCCTCGTTCTCCTGCTTATATCTCAACCCAAGGACCTCTGCCAAACACTGTTGCAGATTTCTGGCAGGTTTGTAAACCAACTTTATTTCATGTTCATTTAATATTTTACAAGCCAACTAACTGTCAGATTCTCTACGTTGCTACGGAGATCTATAAATGAGATGGGAGTGTTACCGAGATATACCAATGATGGGCACAGATTGTTATAATACCTTCTGGCAATGCCAAGAACCGGAATCTACTCCCTAATAGTCTCAGCAAGCAGATTTGGAAGTTCTGGTCGTCAGTTTGATGTTCCTCTTGTATGATCCTTTGTTATTTCTTTGTATAGTATTGCCAACATATGGCAGGTTTGGTTTTATAATAAAATGGTCCTAAGGTCTAATTTTATAATGAGGGCTTTTTTTCCCCCCGATCCCTTTAAATAAATTATTTTTAGTCAGACTCTACTAGCTGATAAGATTATTGAACACAGACTACACCATGTTTAGTTTTAGTTTGGGATAGCAATGTGCCATGGGTTATTCCTGTATGAGTAATAATTATCATATCATCAATAAATTATTCATAATGTTGGATGGAGTATCAGCATTTTGGATATGTTCAATTGGGATACATTAGCTGGTATGTTTGTTGTAAGTTGGGGTAGATTTCTGTGACTGTTGTTGGTCGTTTTTTGTTGATGCATTACTGTAACTTATTTTTTCTTTCTTCTAGATGGTATGGGAGCAAGGATGCATGGTGCTTGTTGATCTCACTCTTTGTGAGGAGTCAGGACAAGTTCTCTGTCATCGGTATTGGCCTGAAGAGGGCAGTCAAGTTCACCATATCTATGAAATCAACCTGGTGTCAGAGCATATATGGTGTGATGACTACCTTGTTAGGAGCTTCTATCTGAAGAACTTGCAGGTGAGTGCTAACACTATCAATGCCTAGCTTTCCATGCCACTCAATACCTCGTCACATTTCTGTGTAGTTGTGTTCATGTCTTTTGTGGCCACTGCTATCCAAAACATGGTGATGGAAATGAGTCATCATCTGTGTTCATATCTTCTGT